AGGGAAGGGAAGGGAAGGGAAGGGAAGGAAAGGGAAGGGAAGGGAAGGGAAGGGAAGGGAAGGAAGAAGGGAGGGGAAGGGAAGGAAAGGAAAGGAAAGGGAAGGGAAGGAAGAAGGGAGGGGAGGGGGAGGGGGAGGGGAAAGGATGGGAAGGGAAGGGAAGGAGGAAGAAGGAAGAGAAGAAAAGGAAGGGAGGGGAGGGGAAGGGAAGGGAGGGGAGAGCCTTCTTTCTCAACCTTAGTCATGGCAGTTTGGGATGCCTCTTTGTCCAGGAGAGCACAAACACAATCCAGATGCCCCTCACGGGCCGTGATGTGCAACGGCGTATGTCCAGAAGTTGTGGAGAGGTTAGCATCGGCGCCGCTCTCCAGGAGCAACTTCACCATGGCGCAGTGTCCGAGGCGGCTGGCACAGTGCAGGGGTGTCTGATCGTCCTGAAAGAAGAAAAGACACACCTTTTTCTCATCCTAGCTCGCTGCCTGGCCCTGCCTGAACGGCCTGCCTTTCCCACGCTGCCCCAAAGGAGGACGCGGAAACTGTCTCGCATGAGGAAGTCACTAGACAAGGACCGGGTTGGTTTCAATCCAAGGAGTTGTGGGGACACGGGGACAACTTTATGATGCATCTTTCGAGGCATCTCATGATTCCAGGGGGTTCCAAACTTGGCGACGTGGCTGGCTGAAGAATTCTGGAAGTTGAAATCCACAAGTTGACAGGTTGGGGAACCCCTACTCAAGCATTTACACAAGAATCTAGTCAACTGTCCCAAAGGTGCTTTTTTCAGGAGGCAACTGGACTGTCTTGTTTTTTCTTTTGAAGACGTTTTGCTTCTCCTCCAAGAAGTTCCTTCAGTTCTGACCGGATGGTGGGGAATGGAAGGATCTGTGCTCTTTGCAGACAGCTGGTCATTTGCATCCTTTTAGAGGGTTGTTGAGGCCACTTGGAGGTTTATCAGTGTCCTCAGGGTCACCTGATTATTGCTCCTGGTTCCTGTAGTCTGCCATTTTTCCTCTGGGAATCCATTCCTACTTCCACGCCATTCCAAGGGTTTTCCTCCCAAATTGTATAGCTAAAATTCTGTAGAGATTCTTCATCCTCCAGGTCATGGTTGACCCAAAGGTCCTTTTTCCAAGAGGCAACTGGACTTTCTTGTTTTTCTATTTGAAGACGTTTAGCTTCTCATCCAAGAAGCTTCTTCAGCTCTGACAGGATGGTGGGGAAGGGAAGGATTTATACTCCTTGCAGACAGCTGGTCATTTGCATCCTTTTAGAGGGTCGTTGAGGCCACTTGGAGGTTTATCTGTGTCCTCAGGGTCACCTGAGTAGTAGTTCTGGTTCCTGTAGTCTGCAATTTTTCCTCTGGGAATCCATTCCTACTCTCACACCAATCAAAGGGGGAATCAACTAAATCTAGCCAGCTAAATTTCAACACTAAATCAGTGCCCGATAAGGATCAACGGAATTCAAGACGGGTTGGACTTGAACTGTTTGTGACCATGTAACGATTCTAGGCAGATAACTCGTTTAACCCCGCCTCCCAGCTCTACCAGTTTTTTCTCCTACATGAAGCCACTAAGAAGGAAAAAGCCATCCATTCAATGTGACTTATTGATCCCAAAGTCAGACAGGTACCTACCTTAGCTGTGGCGTTGACCTTGGCTTTGTTCTGGAGAAGATACTTGGCTACCTCACTGTGCCCGGCCCGAGCAGCCATGTGGAGGGGTGTCTCTACTTTCTGTGCAAATAGAAGAAGGAAAAAAAAACCATTCCAGAGAACATTTGGAGCTGAGAAAAATTCCCCACAGCCTCCCTCAGAATCCAAAGATGGAGAAATTCAGATGACAGGGCTTGTCTGCTTTTTTTTTTTTTTTTTGAATAACACTTTCGTCTCCAAAGGCTGCACAGGGTCAGACTGGGAAGTCAAAGAAATAATATTTGGTCACACCTCAGTAGAGACCTTCAAATTTCTAGGTTCTACTATATCACATGACCTAACATGGACACCTAACATCAAAAACGTCATCAAAAAAAGCACAACAAAGAACGTTCTTTCTGCACCAACTCAGGAAGCTCAAACTGCCCAAGGAGCTGCTGATCCAGTTCTACAGAAGAATTATTGAGTCTATCATCTGCACCTCTATAACTGTCTGGTTTGGTTCTGCAACCCGACAGGACAGACACAGACTCCACAGAGGATAATTTGGACTGCAGAAAAAAAAATACTACCAACCTGCCTTCAATTGAGGACCTGTATAATGCAGGAGTCCAAAAAAGGGCTGGGAAAATATCTACAGATCCCTCACATCCCTGACATAAACTGTTTCAACTCCCTCCCTGAAAAACGACGCTATAGAGCCCTGCACACCAGAACAACTAGACACAAGGGCAGTTTTTTTTCCCCCAATGCCATCACTCTGCTAAACAAATAACTCCCTCAACACTGTCCAACTATTTACAAAGTCTGCATTACTATTACTGTTAATCTTCTCATCACTCCTTATCACCCATCCCCTCCCACTTGTGATTGTAGGACTGTAACTTTGTGGCTTGTATCCTTATGATTTATATTGACTGTTTCCTAGTATGATTTGATTGCTGATTGTACCCTATGACTATCATTAAGTGTTGTACCTTATGATTCTAGACTCTTGACGAATGTCTCTTTTCTTTTATGTGTACACTGAAAGCATTTGCATCAAGACAAATTCTTTGTGTGTCCAATCACACGTGGCCAATAAAGAATTCTATTCTGTTCTATTTCACAAATATTTAGAGGATGAAAAAAAAAAAGACATTTTGGTGCATTTCTGCCCTAAAACAGATCTTACTGATACCTTCCTCATTTTTCTCGTGGTTTTGACCCTTCTCAAGATGTTTTTTGGTTAGAGAATAACTGAGTTAGAAGGGACTTTGGAGGTCTTCTAGCCCAACCCCCTGTTCAAGCTGGAGACCTTCTACCATTCTGGACAAATGGCTGTCCAATCAAGCTGTTCCACTGATTAATGGTTTAATTAATTAGTGAATGAATTGACTAATTAAACTTTAAAACCAATGAAGTCAACCGATGACTTTAATTCCTTCATTGAATTGATTAAGCATGACATTGTAGCCCTTACCAAAACTAGATGGGATGAAACCCATGCCTGGAATGTACAGCTAGAGCAAAGATAAATTGCCTAAAAGGCTTTGCCCAGAAATTTAAAAAGTACTGGATCAAAATACAAAAAATGGTTATACAAAATTACACAGAGAATTGAAGCCGGAACTGTTTCTTTGGGGGATTATTAAAGGAAAGTATCCTAAAAAGATAAAATATTTGATTTTACACATAACTACAGCAGCGAGAATTGCACTCGCCCAATGCTGGAAAAGGGTCACTATACCAACAGATTGTTTAGTAATCCAAAAGATTTTATAGATTGCGCAGAAATGGATAAACTTACCTTAGAGTTAAAGGACAAGGAAGACTCAGAATATTACACAGTTTGGGAAAATTGGTATCAATGGATAGATAATAGGAATAAGAAATGTACAGATTAGAAGATATGGATATGGATATGAATAACTAGAAATGTATGGAAATGTATGTATATAACCAAGGTACTGTCAAAGAAGATTGAGATTTGTAAAAAGTTATTTCTAAATTTACTTGTATTTTAAAGTTTCAAATTTCAATAAAGGTTAATTTTAAAAAAAAAATTGTCCCAAAGAAATAGTGAATACTTTTTATCTTGTAACCGCTTTCTTTCTTTCTTCCCCCTTTCTTTTTCTTTCTTTTCTCAAAATTCTTTCCCTCTCTTCCTCTTCTCTCTTCTTTCTTTTTCTTTCTTTTGCTTATTTGTGTATGTATTGTGACTGGTTTTAATTGTAAAAATTAATAAACTATATTTATAAAAAAAAGAAAAGAAAAGAAATAGTGGATTGGTTAAGCCAGTAATTTTTTTTCTCACCACGTTGGAAACATTGGGAGATGCTCCCCGTTGGAGCAAGATCTTGACAATAGAAAGGTTCCCCATGAAGGAGGCCACGTGAAGAGGAGTGAGTCCCGACTGTCAAGAGAAAAATGAGAGAACATAGACGAATTCCACCTTCGGCATTTGTCTCCGTCCGTTTCTCCATACCGTAGTTAGAAACTGTCATTTACTTGAGGCCAGCTCTACAGAAATCAGTAGATTCCTGAACTCCGTTACCTCCGTCACTGCGTCGATGGAGGCCCCCGTCTTCAAAAGAAGCTCCATCACCCTGATGTGGTTCTTCTTGCAGGCTATGTGGAGTGGAGTGAAGCCGTTCTGCAGGGGAAAGGAGACCAACCAATAATGCAGGGCAGGTACCCGCCTGGCCTCACCTTGTTTCTATCAAGAGTATATTCATGAACTGGAATAGAGCATGTTTGTAACAAGGTCAGCCAGTGAACAGGCATAGCAACTTAAGTCAGCCAATGAGGACTGTTTGGAAACTGAAACTAGAAGTAGCCTAGGCATGGCTCTATATTAAGCTCTGCAGCTCTGAAGCTACATTAAGCTCTGAGTCTGTCTGTTGAAGATGAAACTGCTTCTTTCCTCTGCTGTGTGTCTTACTTGCCTGCTGAACTAAAGTGAAACTGAGCTCCTGAGTTTCTGTTCTGCTTTGAACCTGTAACATGTCTGCTTCTGTTTGAGTTTGGAGAAATGTTGGAGAAATCTACAACTGGTATTGTAAAATTTACTTTATATGTTTATAAAGAAGTTAAATGACGCCTCAGCCATCTGTGTTTACTTTTCTGGCGCTGAATTTACACCGCAATAATCTGAACAATTTCTCTGGCCTGTACTCACCAGGGCCCGCGCATTAGGCTTGGCTCCCTTCTCGAGCAGGATTTTGGCCACACGGTGGTGGCCACAGTGGGCAGCCACATGCAGCGGGGTCAAGTGGTCCAATGTGATGTCATCAATGTCGGCGTTATACTGCAGCAGAAGCCGCACACAGTCCAAGTGGTCACCTTGGGAGGCCATGTGGATGGGGGAGAGGCCATTCTAGAACAAGGATAGAAGGATGAGCACGGAATGGCCTCACTTAGGGAACAGGCAAGCGGGCAAACCAGCATCTGCATTTCCTGCGTCGGATGAGGACAGGACATCTTTCTCCTTCTGCCCTGGCCTCTTTTTACTAGAGGCATGATGGAGAGCATTTTCACAAACCGCATCCGTTTGGTTCGGTGGCAGCACCTCAGATAGAAAGTCACTACAGAGAGTGGTGGGGACAGTGGAGATTATAGGAAGTTTGATTCCCATTATTCTGGATGTTGCTTATAAGCACTCTGTACTTAGAGCTCGAAGCATTGTTAGAGACACACCCACACACCCACTTCATGGTCTTTTTCTGTTGCTCCTCTCTGGGAGGGGGTTTCAAAGTATTTCTAGCAGGACTACCAGATTCTGTAACAGCTTTGCACCCTTATACCATCTGTCTGGCAAATTCGCAAGATTCTTTTCTCTCGCATGTACATGTATATATCCAGACTAGACTGTGTTGTTTCTCTGTGTCACATAATAATATACGTGGGTATATGCATAATTATATAAGTATTTATTTATTTTGTCATGGCTATGTAGTGTATATTGGAGATGGTGATCTTTTGAGAGCTGTATGCAACGAAATTTCATTTTAATGTATGCCGGATTAGTGTACATCCAAAGGGACAATAAAGTTATTCTAAGTCTTCTTCTAAGTCTAAGGCAGCCAGGTAGATGCTATTACCTGGACAGGTAGACCATGCAAGAGGCAATGATGTTTCATTATTGGGATGGGATCTGGGCAGAAAAACCAGACAGCAAGAAAATATTATTATAAATATATTTTATAATATATTGTTAAATATATTATTTAATAAAAATATATAATTATTTTTTATGGGTTTGAACAATATTGAGTCTTGTCTTTATCAAATGGGATGGGCTTGTAATATTTCCTTCCTTCTTTTCTTCCTTCCTTCTTTCTTTCCTTTTCTTTCTTTCCCTCCTTCTTTCCCCCTTTCCTTAAAATCATAGAGCTGGAAGAGATCTATGAATATTTCTAGTCCAGTTCCTTGTCCAGGCCAGGAAACCTTCCTTCCTTCCTCTTTCTTTCTTTCTTTCTTTCTTTCTTTCTTTCTTTCTTTCTTTCTTTCTTTCTTTCTTTCTTT